TCTCTATGGTGGGGGACAAGGCTGACCTGTAGCCAACGATCGCTGCGTAGGACAAACCTACTTCGTCAAACAAGTGGACAAAGCAGTCTGCTACCTGGCCGATAGAGGGATGGCATGGGTCAATCTCCCTTCCACTACACCAATGAGTGTATGCTTGCCATTTCGAGTCGTAGGCAGCGTTGGTGGTATCCCTGTTCGCCCTGGCCAGGACGTTGGCAGCTCACTTAGATAGACCTTTCGTCTGCGTGAGTTTACTGAGAGCCTCCATGCGTGTAAGTGGTACACTGCTGGGCTTGTTGGCAGTGCGCCGACCGGTTGGGACAGCAAGTCAGGTAAGCCCGGAAGCACTACTGGTGTTTCGACTATCATTTCCAGCAGGAGCGGAAACCAGGCCTTGGTCGGCCAATTGGGTGCCACCAGAGTTAATATGCAGGTGGGCTTTTGTCGAAGATTCTCCAGTACACAGTGAATTAGCGGGAAGGGAGAAACGGCGTACGCATCCATGTGGGACCACAGGATCGATAAGGCGTCCACGGCCATGGCTCCTGGTGTCGGCGGGAGTGTTATGTACGTCAGGAGCTTGGCGTTCTGAGGTGCGGCAAACAGGTCTATCTTTGGACCGTCCCACAGTCGAAACAGCCTGGAGGCTACCCACTGGGGTATCTGCCACTTCGTGTTCTGGAGACGGAGCTGCCTCGAAAGGGCGCCTGCCAGACCGTTCCTCACCCCTGGAAGGTGGTGTGCGGTTAGCTCCACATTGTATTCCAGGCACCAAAGGAGAACTTGCTCTGCTAGGACCGACAACGCCCTCCCCTCTCATTGTTGATATAGGAGACCACCGCTGTGTTGTCTGTGCGAACAGGACTTTGGGTAGAAAGCGTAATAGTGCTAGGCGCACTGCTTTCAGCTCGAGCCAGTTGAACCAATGCGGGGGCCATATTCCTTGGGCATGTTTGTCCAATAGATGCGCTCCCCACCCTTGGTCATAGCTGTGATGAGTGGGTCCAAGGGGACCCCCTGCCCGAGGTTGGTCAGTGACGACCACCAGGACAGGGTTTCCTTCGCTTGGTCCGGGATCAATACTCTAATTCCTGTAGGGGAGCTCGGTGTTCCAATAACAAGCGTTGGACCGAGCGGTTGCATAGAGCAGCCTGGGGAACAACCCTTCGAACGGAGGTCATCATTCCGATGAGCCGCATTAGTTCTCGGAGGGACACTGAGGGAACGGTGACTAGGCGTTCTGCTAGGTTGCTTAGCGCTAGGCGACGTGCTTCAGATGGGCGAACCAGGCCTACCTCGGTGTCGAATTCCATGCCCAGAAACACCAACTGTTGAGTCAGGTCGGGATGGGACTTTTTATTATTTACTAGGAAGCCCAACTGGTGGAGTAAATCCTGCGTTAGCCTTACTTGTCTGGCTAATAACCCCTTGTCTGGGTTGTGTAACAACCAGTCGTCTAGATACGGATTGATGTGTACCGACATTTGGTGGAGCAGCAGTGGAGCACCCGAAATTCAAATACTTGGCTCAGGTGGGCGAATCGAAGGAGAGGGCAACTCGCTGGGTGCATCGGTATGTGCAGGTATGCATCACATAAGTCAAAAGAGGCTAGCCAGTCGAACCGGTGGATGGAGAGTAGGACACTGGATGGTGTCTCTATACGGAACCGATCGAGAAGCACCTACTGATTTAGTCTGCTTAGGTCCAGAACCGGACGCCAGCTGCCTGTAGCTTTGGGTACTACGAATACATTTGAGTAGAAGCCCGGACTTAGCACCGGCTGAACTATTCTGTGTATGGCGCCCTTTTTTAGCAAACTGTCTACTTCCTGTCTGATTGCTTCCGCCTTGTGGGGATCCCCTGGCAGTGCCCCCAACAGTGGGGACACTGACAGGGCCGGTGGAGATGTCAGTGGTATTGTGTAACCGAGTGTCACCACCACCTGGAGGGTCCAGGGATCTGTTACCCGCTGCCTCCAAGCCGGAATGCACCGGCGCAATCTGCGTGCGACAGAGATCTGTGGCCATGGGTTCGGCGGTTGCAAAAGGGGGGGTCTCTCTTCTTCCGTGAGGTGAGCTTCCCCGGGGATCACTGGGGTTACCAAGTCGTAGCCTGATCCCTTGCTAAACATAAGCCCATCTCACCTGGTCTAGGAGGCGGGTGCATTCTGCGTCTGAGGTCTCAGAGTCCTGGGCGCGCACAAGAATGTGCTCCAGTGTGGCGGCCACGAATTCTAGGAAATTGATGGGTCGCAACTCTGCCCTCAGGGCGTGTTGGATAGTCTCAGACTGGGTCAATGAGAATGACCATGAAGCGCGGCCGTCCCCCTTTACCCAGTTAGCAAATTTGTGGTACAGGGGTCTGGGGAAGGAGCCTTGGGGTCCAGTCGGGGGCTTCTGGTTTCATCCCTCGAATTGGGGTCCGAATCCGAAATTGCCCCGATAGGGTAGCGTTTGGTCCAGCGAAAGGGGTTATGCAAAAGATTACCCCAGCCTGGGGCTTTTGGCGTTACCTCCTCTACAGCTGACCAATGATCGTCCCTCAACACGGTCTGCGCGCCGTCCGTCACGCTCAGAGCTCGGGTGGACCAGGGGAGACGTGCAGGTGGGGTCAATCTGGATCCCAGCGCCTGCGATCCCATCAGCGTAGAAGCGACCGTGAGTGATTGCTTTAGGATTGATGGTGGGGGAATATACATTGTGTCACCTGGACTGATAATATTCTGCATCACCCCAATGGCGTGGCTTACCGAGTCAGAGAACGGAGTCTTGGCTACCAGCATCCCCGTTGGTGTTTCGTGTCCGAGGTCACCGAGGAGACCCGGTGTCACTAGCTTGAGCCTTGGCCTCCCCCAAGCTAGCGGAGGGGTCACGGCTGGAACGGGGGTTCTCCGGAAGAGACTAGTCTAGAATGCAAACGGTGCTTTCTATGTTTCTTCCTGCTTGCTGGCTGAGAGGCCGCAGTGGAGACAGCTCGCTCCGACTGCATTTGGTCTACCCGGCCTGCCAGGGACGCAATCTGCCCCGACAGACCTTCGACCAATGCCTTTATTTCAGCAGCAAAACTGGCGCCGTGCGAGGATGGTTCCACAACGGGACCCTGGGTGGGCCCCATAGGAGGAAAAACCTCTAGGGGCACATTCTCGCTGTTGCCGGAAAAGTCGGGTAACCCACTGCCTGAAAAAACAGACTGTGCAGATGCCCTCCGATCAGCGAGGGGAAGACCGAAATACGTCGGTTCCTCCACCATCAGGCCTTTTGCTTGATAACCCAGTACGAGTACGGGTAGCCGAGCGCGTGGACTTCTCACTCATGCCAACGCACAAGTCACCCATACCTATGCCGGTTCTACCTGCCGCGCGACCTTTTCGTGAGCGAGCAACGCGGTCAGTCTCGGCAATCTTTACAAACTGCTGGAAAGAATCCCAGGCTTCAGAACCCCAGTTATTGCAAATACTTGGGCAGACGCCCGAACCCCGTACGCAAGTAATACATCGGTAGCATTCAGCATGTAGGTTCCAGTCCTGCAAGTTCTGTGTACAATGGTAGCAGACCCGCCTCAAAAACTGAGGGGATAACAGCGGCGGCGAGCTTCTGGCGTTGCCAGTGCATCTATCCATTTCCAAATACATTGTAAATAAAAGACGACATGCATGAGGGAAACGAAATACGGTTGTAAAAGGTGCCGCCATGAAACCAACAAGTGGTTACGTGGTGGCGCCGGGTTTTAATTTCTTTGTTGTGGAAAAGCATAACACACAAAGGGGAAAACGACACAAGGGTAAAAAGACAAGAAAAACTTATATTACCAACTAGAATGTCGGATGCCGCATCTGCAGCAATGACCCACGCTAGAAACCTGGACAGGAAAAAATAAACGAGCCAGGCAGAGCCGCTCAGAATCATTCCCGACGAGGCGGAGATGAAAGAAGAGTGATTGTACGGTCGTCTATGCCGCTGCCATGTGGCCTCGGTCACGTGGGTTCGTGACGTAACAGTAAAAGAATCATGGGGCATCCCCTGACCTAGATTCTATTTCTCTGTCACCGGCAGAATCGCTGATTAATGCCTACAGTTCAAAATAGTCATTTTGAATGACCGGATTCTATGGTGGGTAATTGAACGTAGTGAATTTTACAGTAATACATGCATGAATGTATGTAAGCAATAACCTGTACCTCTGTGTTGGACTTCCTTGTAATGTGTACATTCTTTCCTCTGTAACTCTGTCGTCTTCGCTTGTAGTCTCTCAATTCAGCCAGGATTTCAAGCTTGGATTTACTTTTTGACTTTGCATCAGAATCTATGGAAACAGATTGCAGTATTTGTCAAGACTATCATCACATAATTTTCATGAATCTCTGATAATGACACAAAAAATGAATACTGCAAAACCATGGCAACAATTTGGCCAAAAAACAAATAGAGCACTGAAAAATATAAATTGCATGATAACATCATGATCAGTGATACCAATCTTACAATAAATTGTTAAATCATGACATATGGGAGTGCATGTGTACACGTCCCAAGACAAAGAAGGCATGTCAGAAATATGTTTTTGGAATCACAGAATCAAAAATGATTTTCATTGTTATAATCACAAAAGACGATTTCAAGATTTTGTTGGATTAGATTTTTATGAACTGTAAATCCTAAAGCCCTTACAATCTTTACAGGGGTTTCTGCAGATCATACAAAGGTTGGAGTGCAGCTTTAATGATTTGTTGAGCAAAATTGCAGACAAAAAAGCAACTAAAAGTACACGAGTATCTGATGATACGCTGTATCTATGCTAGCTTTGAACATAATTGGCAACTACTATGGACATTGCGAGAAAACTAAATGGCTGCCAGTCTGCCATATAGAATCTGTTCTCTAAACAAGCAACCTTTCGGCTGAGATAGCTCTGCTGTTAGCAATACACATTTCAATTAAAGAAATTAAGATATCATTATAAAATATGTATAGTATCAAAGCAACCAGACTTGCTGTTTCAACAAGAATTCAAAAATATCACTTTTTACCAAAAATGACAAAAATATTCATCAAAATTAGAGAATTGATTATATCATTACAAAATGAACAAAATCAGAAAGGTCTACCAAAGGTACATATACACCAAGTATCAAAGCATTCAGCATTGTAGTTTTCAAGAAGAAGTTGAAAAAGTATAAAGTTGACATGGATGACGATGGACAATCACTCAAATGATAAGCTCCACTCAAAAGAGCTAAAAAAAGCAACAATGCATCTGTGACTGTTTCAATACATTCTATCACCAACCTTGGTTCATAGCTGCATGGTCAAATTCTAACTGTGAGACTGACACACTCTTCTTGTTCATTTTTTTGGCTTTATCCACTACATAGTCATAAATAGCAACTCTTTCCTGGCAAGTCAAATCCAACTCTGCTCTATGATTTGTCTTTGCTACATCTTTCACATTGCTACCTGCAAGTCAAATACATATATAGAGTTACATAGACAGTATATACATGTATATGTACAAAAATGTGGAATTTGAAAGTCTTCAGCGGGGATCAGAAAAAATAAAACAAAACAAACATATTTATACCATTCAGATTTTCACTTACTCAACACAGAGGGCGCTGTGTCAAATTATGATGTCATATATAAAGTGACCGCTTTGCCTACACTGATAGTTTCTAACTGTACTTTCTGATTGCCTAGGCTCATGAGAGTTGAGAAGTTATGATCATTTAATCTATGTTTCTGTGCTGTATATCTTTAAACATTTATGCCAAGGTTTGAAAAAATTCAGTTTCGCTGAAATGAAGATACATGTAACTGAAAAAAAAATCCAGTGAATATACCTTTTTCTCATATTTTATAATTCTTTTCAGTGAAAATTAATTCTCACTAAAATAAAGTTTTTTACAATAATTTGCAGGCGGTCTTCGGCATCTAACATTAATTAATTAATTCTCACTAAAATAAAGTTTTTTACAATAATTTGGAGGCAGCCTTCGGTATCTAACATTAATTGATTAATTCTCACTAAAATAAAGTTTTTTACAATGATTTGGAGGAGGTCTTCGGTATCTAACATTAACTAAATATTCCATGAGAAGTCTACATGTACGAGTCAAAACAATGATTTGGGTAATCAGATATAATTAAACTCTCTTGAAAGCATTGTAAAAACTTGACTATTTCACACATAGAGCAAATAATGTTAGTGAAATATTAAATTGAGTCAAACCACACTAATACTAGAAGGCTGACCCAGCTGAGTATGCATTTCAAAATGAATTGGTTTTCACTCAAATTCCACTCACATCACCAAGGTTTGGTTATTTGGATATCATACTTTGAAAGACAAGGATGTCATCTCTTGCAAAGTGTTGTTCAGAAAATAAAAAGATTATATTAAACATTGTTGTCTATGTGAACTAAATGTTGTGTGAAACATTAAATATTAAAATATAATAAAATGCAATTTGGGATAACCATAGTTATCTATTTCTTATGGCAGATTAACCCAATAACTTTTCTGAATTCTGTGAGTACAAAAATACAATTACATCCAATTCTTTAATTTGAAAATTCATAGCCAGTTACCTAAATCATTGATTTGTAAAGTTGCATTTCTACTTTAATAGAAAATCTGTGAGGCAGCATCCCCTGTCCAATATACACACCATCAAATGTTGAGATTGCGAATGAGAAATGAGCTTCAGAAATGTTAACAGTCGCTTTGAATTAAGTTAGATTTGTGAACTTTAGACACTCACCAAGTTAAGAGGATGTGCTCGTTTCAAAGATCAGTTGTATTGTACAGTATGCATGTTTGTCTGACACACAAGACCCTCCAGTACAAGAAAGTTAAGGCAGGATATCTACTTTCAATATATCATATTGTTTAACACCATTCCAACATATAAGTTTTTTTTTTATGTTTTATATATTTGCAAAGTGGGAATGCAACTTTTAAGATATGATTTATGAATTGACAGCAGCGACCATATGAAGTAATGGTCAAACCACTAACAATTCTAAACTCAGTACACATATCATAGTTTTGTTTCCCCTTTCATAGAACTTAACTAGTACAAGGCTACTCGAATATTCCAATGATAGGTATGTTATAAAAATCATGTTGGCAATTTACGAACAAACTTTCACTAAAAACAGACAAGGATATGCAAAGTTAGGATACAAGTATTGCAAACATCAACCATAGAAACAATATTCCATCTTCCATTGCTGAAAAATTGAAAATGTTTTAATGTCAATGATGAGAGTGAAACGTGTCACAACTTTTAATTTTGCTTCTGCCCTCCCCCAGGGCCATGGTATCATCTGTGTTTTGCAGTATTGTAGGAATTTGGCAAGGAGGGTGTCCTATCCCTACAAAGACTGACTATAAACTTAACTACATGTGCTTGCTTGATTTTCAATAGCAATTTTCTTTTATGTTGACTGCTAAAACTCGTCGTTTCTTTGACTGGTATGCATTTTAATGAAGAGAAGACTGCTGCTAAATACTACAAAATAGTTTGATTGATTGATCATATACATTGTAATACAATATTGGCTCCCACTATGGAGTCCAGAAAAATGACTGTAAACATGACCACTGTTTTGAACATTTTAACCACTTATTCAATGTATGGTGCTTGTTGAAGAAACATTATATTGTACACACATCGTATACATCACATGGACCAATACATGTATAAATCAAACTACTGCCACTTAAAGGCCATATATATGCTGACGTTTACTTAATAATAGCTCTTCAAAATTCCTATTCATTTTGTAATAATAAATATATGTTATGCATATGTAATAATATGTAGATTAATAGATTTTTTGGTTTCCATTTTTCAACATCCTTGCCAATGATGCACGTTACAAATGTGCCACGCCCACTTCACATTGGCGCGCCCTGTTTAATTTTTAAACCGTGGAGAACCCTGTATAGGGTTTATAAGCATAAAACAATGGAGATTATTTCTTTTCAAGTCAAACTGTTGTAAAGAGATCCAATGAAGTTCCAGTCAAGCCATTTTTCTTTGACTTTTAGGTTTCTAAATAGCATAAATTGGATATATGTGTCTATAAATACTACAGCAGTGATTTGAATATTTTTATGTCCAAAAAATTAAATTGCGTGACAAATCGGGAATGTATGTACACCATTAATAAATAAAACTTAATGACCTGGTCGCCTGACTTAATTAGGGCTTTAACGCAAGTCTAACCTTTTCACCACCAATTCTCTCTTTTAATCACAAAATAGTCCTGTTTATAGTATGCACTTTGCTTTACAAAATTGGGACAAAAATAGCCGTAAAATCTGAAAATTGACTAAAATTTTGCTTGCTGGCTTCAAAACTAGGGTTAATCTCCAGAAATATTGAAGAATACAAGAAAAAAGTGAAAGTGTAAACAAATTTGGGCAAGAAAATCTGGTGACAGAAATTGTCCAGTGACTAGTTCTTACCTGGTGTTGATGAGAGAATCTGAGACTGCAATGTCTTATCTGCAAAACAATATTTCCACAAAGTTAAATACTACATTAAACTGCCAAACTGCAGTACCTGGGGTTACATCATGGCAAAATTAGATACCAGAGTTTACAATATTGCTGTTTTTAATGTTTCTGATTGTAAATTAATTTGATGCACGATTAGACTTTACAGCAAAACATGGTTAAATTTGTTTCTGTAAAGACGTCAATCATCCATTTTATTATTTATATATACGAGTATGCTCCAACTTGGTGAAAAACACGATCCTTGAAACAAATTTACCAGAAATATACCACTTATTATTAATATACATAAATATAATTAATTCAAAATCATGGTAAAATGGAACTATCATTGCTACATATTACACATTAAATCAACACTTCAAAAATACAATCCCTTGCATTCTGAAAAGGTCAAAATAGACTAAAAAGGGACCCCTTATCCACTTGGAAACAAAGTTTATAGACTCCTTGGGTGCCTTGCATGCTCTTTAGTAAATTTGCACTAGTGTGTTTGATTTCCACACAATGAGTATCTGATGTAAAATAGCGTTTGCTTTCACAGTACAGTTCTTGTTTTGACAATTTAAAGAAATGCCAGGTATATCCTGACCATTCCATGACTTGATGGCTTTCTGCATAAAATAAAACATTCCATAATAAGTGACCAAAGAGAATCACAAAGTGGATGGCGACATTGGTATTCACATTCTGATTTGGTAATCTGCATATTTGTAATTCAAAATAATATTTGTAACTGAGCGATTGAAGTTTATGGTAAAACTATAACATAACATGCGAACTAATCCATTTCGTATTTCATTTTTTTTAGGCTTGCATTCATATTTTGATTCAAATTAAAAACATTTTTTAATTTAAAGTACGTCTATATCAGAGATGCCACCTTATGAAATGAACATTTAAGCAAGGTTGGACGAACAAAGGTGACACTTTACAGTTTAGCGCATTCTATTTTTTTGCATGGCGCTGCAAGAGGAAGTCAAAAGCTGGCTTGTGCTGAAAAAATACAGCAATGTTTTGCACAAGACAATTTAATCACAAAATAGGTGGATTGAGTCATATGATCGTTTTGATTTATTACTTCAATCCACTAATGACATGTATGCATGAATGAATGAAACAACAGACTTACCAATTAGTACAGGAACTACAGATAAAGAATCCTTATAGTAAAAATGAGAACTTGGCAACTGGTTATCCTAAAGAAAATAATATTAATAATAATGAAACGGGATCTTGGTATCATGTCACGCTACTTGCATACCCCAAGTAATATACCTCTGATACTATATACAAACATCATAATATTTATTTATGTTTATCGGTATGAATTTAAAATTATTATTCCAAAAACAAAAATTTATCAATTTGGTAGACAGAGAAGCCAATTTGTAGCCCACAACACTACCAGCCAATGTATGTGCTATAGGATAGTATACTTACATAGTCTTCTCTTGTGTAACCTTGTTGAATCCAACTACAGAGTTCTTTGTGTTTATCAAGTGATTTAGATGGTACCCTGTGACTTTCATCCACAGGGCATGTTGTCATGGTAACATCAGTATTCTGAATAATAAAACAAAATTGGTATATTTAATCATGTTTTAGTCTTGTTTGTTTTTAGTTTTTTAATTAAGGGGTGGACATTTGAAATCCTGGGGCGTGAACATTTTGGGAGATAAAAATTAAAAAGATACATTTGCTAGGGGAAAAAAAAAACAATATGTGTTTTAGAAAAAACAAAATTGTGAATTTACGGTAATCTACCAAAATGCCAACAAATATTCCCACTTGACTTAAGATATAAACAAATTTAAATGGTATTGAAATTTTTTTATTTTCTCTTCAGAATTATAGGAATATCTATTTGCAATAATTCCCTGTGTACAACTTTTTTCAAATAAAATTTTCAAAACATAATAGTGAAAACAGATGAGCATCTACGTGAATTAAATTAAAAACAACAACTTTTGGTGGATGTTTTCTCTGTACCAATCTGATTAAAATAAGATCCTAGTTTTGGCTTTTTTTTTTCATTTTTCTTTGTATATTTATTTTCTTTCATTTTAATCTAGTATTTCTTTTTTTATAGTTTTTTGAAGTTTTGGTAATTGCGAAGGTGATAGTTAAAAATATACCGAATCACAAAAGTACGTACATTTCAGTTTCAGATATTAATTTTGTAATGGTTGTTACAGATAACTATATCGTCATTTCAATCGATTTCGGCTGGGAAACTACTTATTTTTAACTTACGCGCCAACTCCTGTGCGCGACCGGACTTTGTCTATGAAGGTACGCAGGGCTGTGGGGAGGGGGGGGGCATCTAACACCCGAACTCATCCCTGTACACACATCACTATAGGCAGGGCTAATCTACCCCACTCCACCTAGTAACACATAGCTGCAG